ACAAGTCATGGACATGCAGTGAAAAGAAATATGCTTGACTTTCTAAAGGATAGACAGTAATAGTAGGGGCATTCCTGATTTGTGGCAACTATACTATTTGTCTGTCTCTCTCTTTCTCTCTAACTTGTAACAGTTCACAGAAAACCACACAGACGCACAATGACAAAAATTTATGTACCTTTCTTATATCTCATCTTCCTTCCTTCCTTCCTTCCTTCCTTCCTTCCTTCCTTCCTTCCTTCCTTCCCTCTTCTTTCTTTCTTTCTTTCTTTCCTCATGCACTATTGATTTTAAAAACTTGCATTCTTCCTTTCTGACACATTCCCAAGAGACAAAAACATCCTGAACTTCCAGTGGAATAATTTTATGTACCTTTCTTATATCTCATCTTCCTTCCTTCCTTCCTTCCTTCCCTCTTTCTTCTTTCTTTCTTTCTTTCTTTCCTCATGCACTATTGATTTTAAAAACTTGCATTCTTCCTTTCTGACACATTCCCAAGAGACAAAAACATCCTGAACTTCCAGTGGAATAATTTTATGTACCTTTCTTATATCTCATCTTCCTTCCTTCCTTCCTTCCTTCCCTCTTTCTTCTTTCTTTCTTTCTTTCTTTCCTCATGCACTATTGATTTTAAAAACTTGCATTCTTCCTTTCTGACACATTCCCAAGAGACAAAAACATCCTGAACTTCCAGTGGAATAATAGCAGAAGCAAAAGACAGGATGATAATAAAAAGCCATTTGACTGAAAGCAGAAAGGATGCAACCACAATATATGAGGAAGATGCAAGATGTTCCCTTCTCCATTAGAAGAAGGCACTTGCAGGGTGGGAGCATATGGGAAGAAGAACCAGAAAGCTGAACAGAAAGGATTAATCCTACTTCCTTGTAAGAGTCTTTCTTCTCTGCTATTCTTAATAAATCCCCCACAAACTGAAAACCCATCAGGAAGGAAATGAAACAGCAAGAGTGGTGGTGGTATGAGGAGAGATGGACACAGAGAAAATATAAAACTCCCTTTTATATTACTAGTTTACCTACTTGCTTAGTAAGTGCAAACTTTTAGATGATTTTTCCTAACTAGTTCAAGCACACAGAGATCATATCCTCTAACCATCTTATCATACACTAATAGAGCAGTCCATTCCATTTGTTCACATGGGAGTTAATAAGGAAACTGTACAATCTATGAACAGGGAAGGAAAGACATACACCGAGTACACTGACCATTCCCATCCTTGACTTTTACTGACCAGAGGCATCAGCCATACTCTTCCTTCAGTACACAAGGGAAGAGTAGAGCCCAACAAAAATCTTTTGGCTATGTCAAGATTGCACAAGGAGAAGATTTCCAAGAAATGCAAGAGTGTCTAATTCATAGAACAGCTGTCCTCCCAGCTAAACAATTGTTTAAAATCTGACCAAATTGGTGTTCTGAGTATTGCTTGAGAAGGCAGAACACAGTTAACTCTTCGTCACATTCTATTTTAAATAAGGCTGAGCCACAAAAAGCCAGAACATGAACTTGCCAGTGACAAATACGAGGAGAAAAGTGAAGTCTGAGGAGAGAAAACAGAAATATCTGGCCTTGGGGAGTTTTCATGAATTCAAGTTTCAATAATATACATGTAGTTCAGAGTTGAATTATTGAGTTCTTGGTGTTCTCTGAACTTGGTTGTTTTCCTGTGGATGTTTCATTACCAGGATAGATAACATCCAAGCTCAGACAACATCAAGATGAATTCAAGATGAACTCAGATGAACACCCAACATGAATTCAAGTTCCCATGGGGGTGAGCCATCGGACACTTTGAATCAGCCAAATGTACATTTCTGTATATTCCTCTGTTCTTCATTTTTTATTATTTCACAACATTTCTTAGCTTTAAGTTAATCATTGTACCAAATGCATATGAACAATTGTTTGAGTACTGATACAATAAGCTTTTGGATGCAGCTTTAAATCATGCTGGATAAATACTTTCTGTTCTATATCACTTTTGTATGTTTTTATCTACAGTTCAGTTCCATTCCACTGGGTTTCCTTTAATCTGCTTATGTATTTTTAAAATGTCTCATAATAGGTAGTTAAATATTTTGATAAGTAGTTAAACATTTTGATATACCTTTCACTGGGGATGGGGGCGGGGATAAAAAATGTTCAGGTATTTAAGTGCACATTCTGATGCATATAAATTGTTAGGTATTTTCACACAAGAACTAACAAATTCCTTTCTGAGGCTTAATCCTTCCATCTCCAAACAAGCCCAGGCAAAAATCTCCCTAGTATTAGGAAGAAAAAAAATGTTCTGTGAGGTTTAATGGATATTTTTATTCTATTGCTAATTTTAGCACTGGGGAACCTGAAGAGGCAGAGTCACACTTGAGGTCAGAGAAGCTAAATTTATGTATTTTCCCTTCTTGTTCAACCTTGATAAAAAATCCCACCATGTCCCTACATTCTACAATTAAATATTTTAAAATTTTATTCCAGATTTCCCCCACACAATCTCAATTACTAGGCTACTGACTTCAGTGGACAAGCAAGAGATGGGGGGGGGGGGGAAATCCCTTTTTTTTGGGGGGGGAAATTTTAAATTTATTTTTTGCCCTTTGGTTTTCTCAATTTTTAAAAAATTTTTGGGGGGGGGGGGAAAACTCCTTAGTATGTGGGGTGAAATGTTCAAATGATCATTCTGCCCTTGGTTCTCTCAGATGATTAAAAGGGTTCTGGAGTGAGGAGGACAAAAATTTTTAATGTTTTTTTTTCCCTCCTGGAGTTTTTAATGGGGAGAAGGGTT